CTTAACAATTTGCGATAATGTATCCAACATCTTGAAATTAGAGGTAGACTAGGTGATAGCGTCAATCCATGTGATCTCGTCATTTACCTCTTTCCAAATTGTACTGGCTTTCGACACCATCAACGGCGATTAATATGACCAGACCGACCAAAATCTCCAACGAGCGCAGAGCATCAAGCTCCTCGAACCGTGGCTTATGACCTTTTTTGTCTTCAAACGTTACGTGTTCCAGGAAAAAAATAGAGCGCCAATGAACTATTCGCCGTCTGGACTCATAGGAGAAGCAGTTCTGCAGAACTCGACGCTGACAGTCTTCGGCATAGACCCCAAACTCCGGGCAAAATACGTCCATGAAACTTTATTCATAGTCAAGAGGGGCCACGTGCAAGCTTTCAAGCCATTATTGAATTTAATCTTTCGCGTCACCCAGGTGACCGTGGAAGAAGAAGTCAACAATCGGTCGCCCAAGTTAAAAAACTGGCAGAATAGAAGATAAGAAAAACAGTTTACCATAAAACAACCAACACCGGGTGCATCCCCCTCCGCTGCAATAGCAACTTCCCTGTTTGTCAAAAACGTTGTTGTTCAGGAAGTCAATTTAAGCGAACGAACGTTTTCGATTAATTCATCATCAGGCAATACAGTTATATAAGGTAGGTTAAAGTTAACGAAAGTTTTAAGCACACAAATCCGTAATAAGAGGGGAAAAGGGGGGGGGCGGTGAGATGTAAAGATATCAAAGTTGTCAGATTCTATTCTTAATTGGAGACCAGAGAACGAAGTGGGGGGAGGGGAAGGCGTTTGACAATTAATTCATGTCGTCTCGTCGTCTTCGGCTCGAGTTTTGTTGGGAGGTGTGAGGACGCAGGTTGATAACGTTTTGTGACGGCGTCGGTGTTCTGGGGATGCTTGATGCCGCAGACTCATCACTGTTTCGCGGCGTGGTGGCGGGTGTTGAAATGGCCTTCGGCCTCGGGAGCCTTAAGGCCGCTACAACCGCTTTCTGCGCACACAGGATGGTGATAGTGAGGCGTTTAGCGACTGCCTCTGTCGTCGCAAGTATCCGCGGACGCAGGAACTTTGAATGTTTAGCTGGGTCTCTATAGACTACTCTAAACGCTTGGTTGACGTCTACCCCATGATCACAGTCTACCGAGTGAGCCAGAAATGCGCTTGATATCGACTTTACTTCGCCTCTGTTTAGCCATGCAGACTGGTGCTCTCGCGTGCGCTTGGATAGCCGCCTTTTCATTCGACCAATATAACCTGCCCCACAGGAGCATTTCAAGTGGTAAATACACGACCGTCTATCCTTGCCTTCAAGGCGAAGAAGTGGAGTGCTTGTGGATAATATTCTTAGCTTGGCTGCTGGATATGTATGCGCGATTGCAGCGTTCGGACGAAGCTGTAGAAGTTCAATTGCCGGGTCCCTTTGAAAAGGCAATGTAAGATATAAGGTTTTCCTCTCCGCTGTCGGCCTTCCGATTTTGGTTGACGCTCCTCCATTAACTTATTCATGAACTTCTCGGGGAAGCCATTTTATTGCAAGGTGTTTTTAATGAGTGAGAGTTCGTCCTCCAGTGTCTCTGGAGAACACATTCTCCTAGTTCGGTTCGTGAGGCAGCGGACTAGGTCTCGTTTGTGACTTAGTGGCACACAACTGTAGAAATTAGAGTTTTGCCCTGTCCAGGTTTTATTACGAAATACAGTTCTACCTATTGTTCCGTCAGATCTCCTTGTAAGGAGGACGTCCAGAAAGGGGAAGCACTGTCTGCCCTCTTTTTTCCAAGGTGAAGGTTAACGCTGAGTGCACCTGCTTCACTTTATCTAAGAATGTGTCCAGCTCAATCCTTTTGTCGGCTTTTATAAGTATATCATCACATAGCGAGCATAGGACGGGATGGCGCCGATGTGATCGCAATAACTAATACGAGGCAAGCGGGAGAATTCATCGAAGCTTGACACTCGAGCCCGACTAGTGTTAACAGAAAGGTAGACCTTAATTTACACTATGCCGGTTTCCGTGTCTGGTCCCCTAACTGGCACCCAGCCTGAAATAACAACAGGCCGTCCGTGCTCGTTCAAGTAGAACTGAACTGGTTCTCCACCCCCTCCCTCCCCCGGAATACGTGGCCCAGAATCCAAACGTTAATACCTTCCCCCTTATCTGCACAACCTATCGCCGTAGAATTCACGTCACCGTAACCCCCTCCCCAATGTCATCCCAGTTCTTTGTAACCTCTGCCCCCAAAAACTCTAATGCGACATTCGCAGCCCTCACATTTCATTTAGTCTGACGACGAACAAGTGATACTTGTTCGGAGATTCACGCGTATAACTTGATTTTCCGAAGGTCTTTTTTTCATACGTTGGAATATTGCATTATTACCGCCGTACAGTCAGGTGTTGGCCGGCTGGCGACAATGCTGACACTTTGTAAATACTATGGCTTACATTTTAAAATAAACTACTGTTTTTGTAAACAGCCAAATTTAACTTTAATTTTCATTTAAAAAATACCTTCCACATTTTTCTCAGATACCGTACATTCTCAGTTTTTATTTTTGATAACGTATGTTTAAATACTCCGTATAGCCGCAAGCTTTCCACTAGT